TGCGGACCAGGGCTAGGACTGGGTCTGGGGGTTCCCGGAAGTCGGCAGAAATTCCTACTGAGCGGGAGGAATGGGGGAGGTATGGCGGAGGGGTGGGGGCCGCCGGAGGGGGTGGGAGAGGGTCCGGCCCATGCTGCCTCCTGGGTTGGGACTGGTCCCGCCGGCGCAGGGTAGCAGAAACTCTCCACACAGTCACCGGACCTGGGCTAGGACTGGGTCTCAAATATATCTTTAATATATTAATTTCTTTAAAGTCAGGCAAGGTGCTGTTTTAAAGAAAAAATCACTATTCGCTTTGTCCACAGATGTAAGTTATATCAAATTTTACCCAAGGTAATTTTGATGTTCAATGCAGCTTTAAACAAGAAATTGTATTTACTTTTCAAAGCAAATTTCGAGTCCCAAACTTGTAAACTAAACCTTCTGACACAAATGCACAAAATGAAGTTGGCAAAATGAAAGGAAAGTCACATGTGTTCTGAGATGTAGTGTCTGGTGGGACGCAAACTGGGTCTCGACTCCGTGGAGCATTGTTTGGCCATCAGGGAAACCTGCCCACAGAGCTTTCCCACAGGCCTAGATAAACAGCATTCCCCTCTGGGGAGCTTCTCACCACCACCGGAGCTCTGGGTGTTTGGGCCCATCCCATCTGTATAAAGGAGGAACATTCGGTCCTTGTGTGCAATATTTGTCATTGTCACATGCTTGTATCTCAGGAAACAGGATTAGAGACAAGAAGACTACCTCACTGGCAAAAGGCTTGGGATGGTTTGATCTCATGGCTTTGCCTAAGGTTCACATAAATTCCATTGCCTCCACCCCCATGAAAGTTGTGTTTTATGGCAACTTGCTTCTAAAATGCACAAGTTAGTAACAGTGATTTGTGAAGACTCTCCCACCATTGCAGTGGCTCGAAATCCCACTTCCCACACGTGTTGCCAGGCTGACACCCTGGAGCTCGGAGGGCTACACTTGTGTACCAAGTGTAGAATGAAAGTCTGAGGCAAGGCTTTGGATGGGGAGGGGAGGGAAAAGGAGGGGAGGCTTCCAGTTAGCTACACAGCTTTGCTCTCAATGTGCCTTTTGCTGCCACAAAAATTCAGCTCCGAAGTTGGTAGACTTTAAGCAGCCACAATGTGAGTCATGTAACTTCTGGGCCCACTAGTATAACTGTTCAGTCTCCTTTGCCAAGGCCAGGCTTTGTGGCAGGCACTCCAAATGCCTGTCACTAGATGCGGGGAATGACACCTCACAGTGGAATGGGCACTGGCAGGCAGAGGCAGAAGCAGTCTTAGGAGCCAGTGCCGCGGTGCAGACGGCAGCCAGGAACCTGGATGCGGAGGGCCGTCTCAAGACGGAGACCCTCTTCCTCCATCCGCTACAGAGAATCAGCAGCCTCCACAGGGTCTCCTTCAAGAGGCAGGAAGTGGAGCAAGGGTCCATAGCTGAGTGCATTATAGGGATGTAAATATCATGCATGTTTGGCATGACGAAAACTTTCTGAAACTCTTGCTCCAGTTTCTTCTCTATCCAGTCTGTCAGGTGAACTAATGTCACTTCTCTCTCTCCAAGTTTTGGCCGAGCTTTCAGCTCCACATATGGCAGCTTCTGGAAACCATACCATATGCAGTCAGTCCAGGGTGGAGGAATGTTGACCGCTAGTGTTCCTCTGCATTCCTGGACTTCAACAGTTAGCAGCAGGGGTGTGTTGGAGACTTCTTCAATCTTCTTTTTAATGAACTCTGTCTCTGTTGCTTTTTGGAAATATTTTGAATTGGTAATTTTATCGACAAACCTCATAATTTTACTTGTTCGATGCCCTCCAACATACCCTTCACCTCCCGGGAGCAGTTGCTTGTCTCCTGCACTGGGCTCAGTGGCCCCATCTTCATCAGAGGAGCCGGCGCTGGAAGGACTCCTCATCACTGTCAGCAAGACAGTACACCCGGGGCCTGCAACCTTCTTTGCCAATTTCTCCAACCTTCAGGGCTTCAACAAGAGGCTCTTTACCTAGTTTGGTCAAATTCATTTTAGTCTCAAAAGTCATCAGAAAGGATCCATTGTAGGACATTTCCAAGTCGATCCAGAGTCTTTGGTGATCCACACGAGGCTTGAAGGCCTGGAGGATTTTTGGCACAGCCACTCCCATGTCAAGCTCCATCAGGGTCAGCTCATTCATGAAGTAGGGAAGCTTGATTTTGCTAAGTTTTATCTGGATCTTCTTTGACACCACATCAGACCAGTACTTCTCTCCTAAGATGGCCCAAAACATTCTTCCAAGCAAGGCATTCACCCACGCTTCCTGTTCTTCCTCCTCGGAGGGTGGGGCTTCTGGCAAATTCTTGCCAGCCGTGGGACTGCTCTCTGCACTCTGCTCCGGGCTCCGGTGCAGACTACGACTCTCCTGGGGCACACACCTACCCATGTACATGCCGTAGTCCTTCAGCATCTTCTGCCGCACACTGCCCACCAGCTCCTTCTGCTTCGGCTGCGTCATGATCTCCTCCACGCTGTCTTTGCTGCTGCTGCGGCTGTGGGTCAGGTGTCCAGAAGGACTGCTGTGCCTCCTGTGGGAGGGCAGGAGCCCTGGTTTACTTCCAGAGACGCCAGGTGGCCTCTTGAGGTCTGACTTCAGCTTAGATGCCAAAATAAACCTTCTGAACCACTCTTCCTTTTCTCGGCCAGTTCGCCCAGACAGGTAGAGTATCTGATCTCGGTGGACCGGTTGTGCTCCCTCTTAAGGGTGGGGAGGCTTCTTGGGGTCCTTGTTGTCCAGCTCTCATTCAGCTGGCAGCTTCTCTTCAGAAATCTCCTTATCAGTCTGAGTTTTATACATAAAGTCATCTTGTCGATCAAGCTCAATACAAATGGGGTACTCTTTGTTCCAGATTCGCTTTCTAGCCAAACTTTTAGGTACAAGATAAATCTTGCTGTCAGAAAGGTCATAGATCTTCTGGCTGATGTAGGTGACCTCTGGCTTCACTTCACTGTAGCTTGCCTTCCTGGATATGTTTTTATTGGGCTTCAAAAGCCTCAAGGTTCCACCCTCAAGTCGAACAAAGACTGAGTGTGTCAAAGTCGCGTGGTAAGTTTCTGGATCATAGTTGTGAATCTCATTCATCCATCCCTTTAATATTTCAGGTTCTTTGATGTCCAAAGAGCTCAGATGCCAGTGTTGCAGATATCTGTGTGATTTGTGATACTTAGGAGCACTTGGTGGTGTAAAAATCCAAATCAAGCAAACTGCAGTCATGAATCCAAGGCCAACTCCCAGAAAGAGTCCACTCGCGTAGTGGGGGAGGAGGAGGATAAGGTACGCATAGACACACAACATAAGGAAGCCCAGCACCTTCATGGGCAATTCTGGGTGCTGCATGGCCACATTCACTTCCCCTTCACTGTCCAGAAGGGCGCCGTCCTCCGTGAGCACCTCTGATTTGAGAGGGATGGCTGGGGGCTTGTCAGGTCTACCCTCACTCTCTGCTTCCAGCTCAGTCTTCTGTGTACAGTTCACAAAACTCTTCATCTTCTTTGCTCAGCAAGACAGACAAAGAACACTTTTCTAAGACAAGAGAGCTCATCTTCAGGCCTAAATCCTTCAGGCCGCCAGCCTGGGAAGATTTTGGTTCCCCCTCCCTCACAGGCTCTTCGGTGGACTTTGAAAGGTCGCTCTTGGGGACACTGCAGTCACTGCTAGAGCCATCCCCCTTGGAGTCACCCTCCTCTTCCTTGATGCTATAGTTGTTACTGCTTTCCAAATGCCCGTTCAAGCTGGACAGGTTGGAGAGCTCTGAAGCACTTGATGACAGGGCTTTGGGCCTATGGCTCACACTGTCCTTCCCTATAATTTTACTAAGGAGCTGAAAAGGCTCGTATATGACTTCTGAAAGGAGTCGTTTAGTGTCTTCGATTTTCGCCTCCATTTCAGGCATTTTAAAAAAAGAGCGAGTGTTGGAGGGAGAAGTCAGCAGGGAGGAAGGTGCGGTTTTGGAGTCTCCACCCACGTTGCGTGGCTGTGTGAACTGCTTGAAGAGGTGTAAGTTCAGCTTGGAGTCAGGTGGCTTGTAGGACACAGCTTCTGACTCCTGCCTGGAGGTGTCGGTGGACAGAGACTTGACTAATGTCTTCATCAAGTGTTTGTGCCTCGGGGGGTGTGGGGGTTCTTTTGGCTCCACCTCAGTGGACAAGGACGTCACCAAGCTCAGGAAGGGCTTTGTGCTGGAGAGGGAAGAGGATGAGACACTGGAGGAGAGGCTGGGAGACTTGGACAGGGGGGGACAGTGGGGAGGAGGAGCTAGTTTTCTGCTCAGAAAGGAACGACACACTGGGCGAGCTGGCCAAGGGCCCTGACGAAGATGACCCTGGAGACAGAGCCGATGGCACTGTACTTAATACTTGAGCTGCTGGAGGAAGGGACTCCAACAGCTTTACAGTGTTCTTGGAGACGAGCAAAATGGCAGGGGCCTGGGACGTATACAGTTCATCTGCCACAAGGGGCGCGGTGCTAGGACCCACAGAGCCATGGCCACCCTGGGGTTCCAGGCAGAGGTCCTCCTTGCCTTCAAGCCCTGTCACAACGCTTTGGTCATCCAGCTGCCCCAAAGGTACTCCCTGAATTCCTCCTCCTCTTCCTCTTCCTCCTCCCCAGATGCTGAGAAGTGAATGGCGATGGTGTCTCGAGACACAGACCTCTGCACGTGCACTTTTGGGCCTGACGGCTTTGGCATGTCAATAGTTTTCTCAGCATGGCAACCATTCAGACTTGTCATCTCTGGCTTCACAAGGGCTCAGGCTCCGGACGTTCTGGTTGCCTCATCATGCTGCACCAGCACCCATGCTCCGCGGCCGCTGCAGTTCAGGGTAAGGCTCTGGCAACCAGCTCGGGCCATGCTCCTGAAGCCCGTCCAACCCTGGGCACCGGCTGCCTACATGTGTTGATTTCTATATATATATATTTTTTCTTTCTTCTAATTCTGTATGCATATATCTGGTAATATGAATAACAGGTTGTAAGACAAAAATGTACATTACAACAAATACTGTGGGGATCCAGTCCAGCCCAGGTCCAGTGAGCATATGGGAGAGCTTCTGGCTCAGAATGAAACCCAGGCATGCCACGTGAGTAAGACCCTCTGCCACGCCCTGGGGACCACTCCACCCCTCCGGAGCCCCAAACCCTAAGCCAGCCAAGTGCATGAGAACTTCTTCAACATTCTCGGGACCCTCACATCAAGCCCAAACTCAGCTAGTGTTTTTGAGAACTTCTGCACTCTGCTGTATCTCCTGGGGCAGGAGCACAACAGAGGGGCATGACAGGTTCACTGTTGTGCCACAGGTGCACAACAAGTTTACTTCCAAGGGCTGCAGGAGGAAGGAGCTGTACATAACAGCTAGAACCAAGCTAAGCATAACTGGATAAACTCAAACTTAATAGATCTGCACCCAAATTGAACTAGGTGCTAAGGTTATAACTGCAACACAGCTCACGACAAAATATCAGAAGTCAGTGCTATATGAAATGAGAAAGACAAGGAGCAAAATGCAATCAGGAGCAAGGCAATGAGCAAAAACAGAACAAATGCAAAGAACAGAAGCTCAGATGAAATGTATGAATTAACAGCGTAAGAAGTAAAGAAACAACAGCAGAAAAGTTTAGAGGAACTAAGAGCAGAATTAATTTCTGAAATAAAAAGAGAAATCTCTGAATTCATAGGATCTGAAATAAAGAATCAAATACAGAAACATATGGAGGAAACCCAAACTGAAAATAATGAAGTAAAAAAAAATTAATAACTGCTTCTAAAGAAGACATTGATAAAAAATGTGGTGAATAGAAAAATGATGGGTATCTTAAATGAGCAATACATGAAAGAAATAGATTGCATGGAGCAGAGTCAAAGAGATATAGAGGAACTTAAAATCTCAAACACAAGCCTGCAAAACCATTTGAGTGAAAGTGAATACAGAGTTTCAGATCTTGAAGACACTGGTGCAGCTAGTGAAAAGGTAAGAAAACATCCCTTAAAAACAACTAGGATGCAGGAAAAATAATTCATCACCTACAAGATGATGCACAGATGAACAGTGTGAGACTAATAGGCATCAGTAAGAAAAAAGGAATCAATATAAATTGATATAAAGAATATGGGCAGAAGTAATAGCAAAAAACTTCCCAAATATGAGGGAACAAATTGACATTCAGGTAACTGAAGCATACAGAAAGCTAAGTAATCTGAAACCAATTAAAAATACACAGAGATATATTACAGTCAATATTCCAGAAATCCAGCATAAGAATAATATACTGAAAGTCGCTAGAGAAAAGAAGGAGATCACATTCAAAGCAAAATCAATCAGAATTACAGCCGACTTCACAAACCATGAAGGCAAGAAGAACATGGAGCAGAGTACTTCAAGTACTCTATGAAAACAAATTCCAGCCCAGAATACTGCACCCTGAAAAACTCTCTTTCAAGTTTGATGGAGAATTGAAATTCTTCCATGACAAAGATCATCTAAAGAATTTGAAGATGACAAAGCCAACCATACACAGACTACTGAAAGATATTCTAGAGAGAGACCAAAATGTTCAGAAATCCATGAGGAAGTACAGAAGAAACATACTAAATAGGGCAAACAATTAAACAGAGGACAATAAGGAGTAAAAAACAGCAGGTAAATAACATGTCAGTCATAAGTCAACACATTTCAATTATAACCATCAATATAAATGGACTCAATTCACCAATTAAGGGAAATAGACTGGCACAGTGGATTAGGAAACAAAATCCAACAATATGCTGCATAAAAGAAGCACACTTAACTCAGAAAGAAATTCATAGCCTGAAAGTCAAATGATGGAAAACAATGCTACATGTCCCAAAACCTCAGAAAAAGGCAGGGGTAGCATTCCTGCTCTCAGACAGTCCCAACTTCAAATGAAGAATGACCAAAAGAAATGAAGAAGATCACTATATACTGGTTAGGGGAGAAATTCAAGAGGAAGAGGTAACACTCATAAATGTATACACAAGAAACCTGGGAGCACAAAACTACAGAAGACAAATAATAATGGATACAAAAAATTTAGTATCCTATACCACAATCAAAACAGAAGAGCTTAACACCACCTCATCCTAAAAGTATAGGTCAAGAAGAAAACAAATTAGCACAGAAGTAGCAGAACTGAACCAGAGCTCGGAAGAAATAGAATTCTTGGACATATACAGAGTGCTCCACAAAACACAGCTGAATACACACTATTTTTAACTGCACATGGGTCATTGTCTAAAAGAGGCCACATACTGGTACATAAGTCATGCTTAAGCATATGCAAGAAAACAGAAATTATCCCATTCATATTATTTGACAACAGTACAATGAAACTGGAAATAAATGAGAAAAAAAGCAGAAAAAAACAATAAATATATGGAAATTAAACAACACCCTACTCAGAAATCAATGGGACACAGATGGAATTAAACAAGAAATTCAACAACATGTACAATTCAATTAATATTCAACCACAACTTATCAGAATTTATCAGATACCATGAAAGAAGTTCTCAGAGGAATATCTATCACTATGAACGCACACATTAGGAAATCAGAATGGGAAAAAATACATACCCAAATGCTGGAACTCTTGCATATAGAAAAGGAAGAGCAAATCAAACTCAAAGTCCAAAGTCTGGAAGCAATCATAAAGATTAGAGCAGAAATTAATTCAACTGAGAAGAAAAAAAAAAAACAGTTTAAAGAATTAATAAATTAAAAAGGTGTTTTTTTGAAGAGTTAAATAAAATCAGAAGTCCCTAGATAACCTCATTTGAAAAGAGGAAAGAACAAAAAAAAATTCAAACACAAGCAATAAGGAATGAAAAGGGTGTAATTATTACAGACCCAGGGGAAATTCAGAGGATTATCAATAGCTACTTTGAGAATCTTTACGCAAATAGAATTGAAGATACAGAAGAATTGGACAGATTCCTAGAAAGGTACAAATTACCAAAACTGAATCAAGATGATATAGCAAATCTCAATAACTCAATAACAGCAAATGAAATACAAAATATAATAAAAAGAGGGCCATAAAAGAAAAGTCCACATACTGATGGATTCACAGCTGCATTCAACAAGAAATTTATAGAAGATATATTTCCCACACTCCTCAAACTCTTCAATGAAAATATAAAGGAAGCAGTACTTTCAAAATCATTCCTCGGGAAAAGTATTATACTGATTCCAAAACCAGGGAAAGATACAACTAAGAAAGAGAACTGCAGGCCAATCTCCTCCATGAACATAGGTGCAAAAATCCTCAATAAAATCCTAGCGAATAGAATACAGCAAATCATCAAGAAGACTCTCAACCCTTATGGGCAAGAGAGAAGAAAGCCTGACTACTGCTCCTGCTGGGAGCAGACTTTGGCATCATCCACATGGTGTTGGTTTGAGATGCTTGCAGAATGCAGGCTTTCAGAGGTTAAGAAAGCTTCCTTCCAGATTTCAGAAGCCTGGGAGGCCGAAGAGTGTGGCCCTGAGAGGGCAGTGTGTAAAACTGAATGAGAAGCCTATTCAGTGGAAACCCCAGATGTTTGGATAAGCCGGGAAAGTAGATTATCTGAGGGAAACTGCAAGGAAGGAGCTTAGCTGGCCTAGGAAGAAAGTCATGGGAGCTACCAGCAGAAGTGCCATAGAAGTGAAGCCACATGGAGGTCACAATTTGCCACTGATTGCATTTGATGTTCCACAAAGAAAGACAGAACTTAATGTTTGCCTTTCTGGATTTTGGACTTGCTTTTGTTCCAATACTTGCTATCCTGCTGTGTGTACCTTGTGGAATGTTAATGTCTATCTTGTTCCATTGAATATCGGAATTGTTTTACTTTTCAATTTATACAGGGGGTCACAACAGGTAAGAGTTTGTCTTACATCTTGGAGGACAGTTGGGACTTGGACATTTTAACAATGCTGAAACTGTTAGTATTTTGACAGCACTTAGAGATAGAATAAAATGCCTTTTGCATAAAGAAATGTGCATGAGTATTTGGGGATCTGAGGCAGAATGTTATGGTTTGCATCTTGTTGTGCCCCCAAACCCTCATGCAGTCATGGGACAACTTCTGGAGTTTGTGATTGATTCATTATCAAATGCTGGGATTATGGGTGTGAGTGTCCTGACACAGATACTCTGCATTAAAATGTGAGGAGTGGAGAGAGGCTAGCTAGCAGCCTGAGCTATTGCCACTCCTTTTGTTCTTATGGATGCTGCCTGTGCCATATGCCACTCTGTCCTGGAGCCAGCTGAGTATAGACTGAAAACTTCACTGACTGTTACATAAATAAGCCTTTCCTTCCTTCAGTTTGGGTTTCAGGTATACAGCCACAGCAATGAGAGAAGAGTAATTCAGATACCTATTAATATTTGCTTTATGTAGTTGTGTGCTCATATATTTTGTACATACAGATTTGAGACTGCTATGCCTCTCTCTCAGAAGTCTCCCTGAAAGAGTATGTAGTGACATTCTTTATCTCTTTTGATCATCCTTGCATGGAATTTCTTATTCTCTCAAAACAGAATAATGATACATACTTTTTTTTCTGGGTTTCTATTGCATGGAAGACTGTTTTCCATCCTTTGAATTTCAATCCATGTATTTTTCTTTTTACTTAAATGTGTGTTTCATACACAACATAATGTTGGATCTTGTTTCTTGATCTATTCTTTCAGTCTGTTTCTTTTTCTGAAGTCCTTAATCTTCATTTATGTATTGCTTCAAATGATAATGTTTAGAAAAAGTAACCTATCACCATAAGCCTCTACGTAGGATTAGGATACTGATAGATGCTGCATTCCTAGTTACTAGTCTATAACTTTGTACCATGGCAATCTTTCTGGATCTAAGCCTTACACAGAGATCAGCTCCAGGCTCTTAGTCATGAGCTTGAACTCCCTATCTTTTTTGTTCACAACTGCAAAATTACTCTCTTACGGACTGCTTGAGTTTGTGTGCTGAGAAATTTTGTGGTCACAAACAACACAATGCTAGATCATATTAAGATACCACAACTGGCATCAGGACAGCTCTGAGACAAGATCAAGTTTTATGCTGCAATGAGCTGACTGATACTGAGGTGGACAGCTAAACATGACAGCAACCATACATGTGCACTCATTTCTTGGATATAAACAAAATGCCTATGACTGAAGATCTCCAATTAATAGAACATTTTCAGAGGGTTACTCCTTAGGTATGAATGTCCACTGGGATCCTTAGGATCTTTCCATTCTTATATTTTACAGGCCCAATATTGTATTCCAAGACAACTTATTTTCCTGTCTTACAGAAAGATGAATTCTTACTCCTTAATGTGTCAGATGTTGGAGAATCTGAGTTGGCACAACCTGTCTAGATTATATTCTGTCAAATTTAGTCATAACCAAGTCTCATAGCCTCAAGGAGCTCTCTAGTCTGGCTATACACCAAGCCTATATATGTCTAGCAATTTTTTCAGGCTGAAACATAAGTATGTCTTACCAGTGCAAAAGTCTCTTCTGTCAGGGAAATTTAAAGTCTCCATCTGATTATTTCTTTAGTGCAAGGTACATTGAATTTTGTTTGGTGGTAGTATTCATTATAGAAATACTCTTATTGAGAATTGATGCAAGGTTCTGCTCTCTCTTTCTCTACATTATGTAATAATAATAATAATAATAATAATAATAATAATTAAGGAGTATTGGAAGCATTCCCTTGGCTGTCCAGGATGGCATGTATGTGAGTCAGATGTGAGTTCACAACTCTGGTGACCTGTGCATTCTGTGGGGTACTTGCACAACCTGCTCATGATATAGGTCAAAACACAAGTTGATAGAGACCAGTAGGAAGCAGCCCTGAATGAGATTTAAATTAATCAATTGATTTTCCATGTTTACTTGTAAGTCTGTCTAAAGCTTAGGCTCGTTGCCTGCAGAAGGGTGATGGACTCAGAGTAAGTGAACTTCTGTGAATCACTGATCCTGATTGAGGCCTGTGATGGTGAGTGAAGTCGGAAAGTTTCAATGGATAAAGCACAATCACAAACAAGGACACCTGGTTTCAACCTCAAATATATAAATCTCAGGCTTCTCAATCATGGGTGGATTAACATAACACCTTACTTCCTATAAGTACTTGAGTGTTTTTGCCCTTAGTGAGTACTTTCCCCCCTTCTGACAGCTAAATAAATATGGGACAACCAGAGAAGGTCTTGGTTTTAGCCCTGAGATTATCTCAAATTCTGTGGGAAGGCTTTGATCTGCCTGAAGCTCTGAAATAATTCTATTTGCCTCTTTTTATTTAGCCTTACCATGCACTCATTTGGGAGATTGTGGAATTGATCAGTCCACCATAACTAAGGGATATTATTAACTCAATATTGAATTATGCTCCAGTGAGATATAAATTTTATTCAGATTCCAGGAAATATCTATTTCCTATATTTTTGTGTTAGCTGATATTTTGCTCCACCAGTATTATTGTCTTTACTTACAGATTAATTTTGGTTTACAAGATGAGTTGGCATAAAGGAAATAAAGGATAAAACTCTATTAGTTAACAGTATGAGCAAATGATATATGCCAAAGTATCCAAATCAAACACCAGTCACAGTATTGCTGTGAAAATATATTTTGATGAGATGAATATTTATTCAGATATTTTTGAGTAAGTCATTACCTTTAGTGATGGAGATATTATTCACACAGTTTGTGGCATTAAGTAAATATCAACATTGAAGTTCCCGGAAGAAATGAATTCTGTAGCATCACATTTGGGATACTTCCTGTCTCTCAGGAGCTACACCCATTCCTATTTCCCATTCTTTTTCTTCAATAAATTTCCTACTCACAAGAAAAGGAAAGGAAAATGAATTCTGATCTATGTTGCCTTGGGAGTCAAGTTTCAATTTTGACTCTTCCATGGATCTCTGTAAATTCTCCTTTTCTGTCTCTTTCTCTCTCAATATTTACATATAGATAGATATAGATATAGATATAGATATGCATCTATTGGGATAGTGAACAATATAATGTATGTTATGGCAGATAATAAAAAACATTGCTTTAGCTGTCTCTTCCTATTACAATGGTGGAACACAGTCTTGCAGTTCCTCAATATATATATATATATA